ACCTCAATCTACACGGCACGACCTCTGAAATGGAGACGTCATTAAATAACAGACAAATTGTTTAATCAATTTTTGCCACAGGAGGAGCTGATAAATAGTATTCAGGTGGTCTGGAAGCGAGTTTATTTCCGCTCCGTTACTAGTTAATGGGAATCCAAAGATTCGTGAGAACTTGAAATTGCAGTTTGTCAAAGGACCAATTTATATCCCGGCCAACTGATTTCATAGACAATTCCGAAACTAATCCGAACCCACTTATAACACACCTGGGCAATTACATCCCACGAGTGGTCCCAGGCAAAAGAGGACCAAATTAATCTTACTTAATTAGATTATATACGCCCTTTTATCTGCTCTACCCGCTGTTAAGACCGTGTGGACGGAATAGTCATCTACGCTAAATTGCGAATTTCACTGTAAATACAAAGTGTTCCATATGAGATGGACGATACGTGTAGCACGCATTAGGATTATGAGAAACTCAGTCGAAAAACATGATGTGAACGTTTGTGTTAAGTATAATTAGATAGGAGGATATTATTAAAATGTGTCTTAAACCTGTTAGAGAAATATGGTTTAAGGATGTAAAGGAGATTCAACTAGCTCAGGATAGGGTTCAGTGACTCTTATATACGATGAAATGTATCTTTGCTTTTGATAAAGTATTTTCTGGCCATCGGAGCGACTATAAAATCTCAAGGCAAATTCTAATCAATGAAGCTAATGATAGTAATTGTCAAGAGGGGGACAGGGGTGCATGATTATTGCAAAATCAGCCTACAGATATTCAATATGATAGTCAATTAAGTTTACAATAGACAACGTTGATTAACGAAACAATGAATAAGAAATAAGCAACAGTTTGGTAAAATATGGCAGAGAAACAAAAACAATTTATTCTATTCGGAAAATAATTAAAGAATGCCTATTTGATACTAAGGTAGAAACGAAGCTGGGTAAGCAGTGGCGGCACGTCCATAAGAGCTGAAACACCCCCTATAATTTATAGTAAACACCCTTGTCCGGTACCACGTGTTTCTCTATCACAAACTGTTTCGTGGTTATTGTTAATGAGTGATCAATAATTCTGTGTTCCGACTATTTTTCGTTCTGATGATGATAACGAGGAAAGGAAGTGTATAAAAGTTACGGCTAATTACTTTTTCTAAATGGTCCTTGAGTGAAAAAAGTGATGTAGAAAATCATGGCCGTCCTCTTCCGGACTTACAAACAGTTAAAATATCGTCGAGCACATGTGGGTTTTCTCCTGATGTAAATTTACTTTTCGTTTATTTATATTGCTATGTGTTGAAATAGTATTCTGATTTCCCCCTTTTCTCAGACTCACGAGCCGCCACTGTGGGTAAGACATATCGAAATGTTCTGTCGTCGTATGGACGCGTCGTCTTTCTTAGAACAGAAACCTCAGGACGCCATATTTCATAACCTGGTGCAACACGTGTGTGCCACAAAACACGGCTATAATAATCGAAATGCAATGTCAAAAATCTTAAGAAGTTTTTATTTTTGCAAAAGGATAACTTTCACAGGGCCCTGAGCTACAACAACATTGCAAAGTCCCAATATATATTTAACTAGTGACAAGGAATGTCGAGTGAATCTTCCTTGGCATTGGCATTTGGTCTTGGTAGTCACCTCCTTTTAACGCAGGACAACACTAATACGCTCGTACATTCAAAATGGCTTGGCTAATTGCGTAACAAAATAAAGGTATCAAACCGCGTTTCATTCGCGCTACATCCCCTTTAAAAATAATCTATAAATGTAGTGAGCTAATGGACTAATTTAAATATTTAAATAAACTTTGACGTTTATATTTACATGTTTACAATTCCATTAAAACAATTTGTTGGAATAAATTATATATTTTTATAACCCACGGTGTTCCTTTTTTATTTCATAATTATGTAACGCAATTACATCATATTTATTAAAATCAAACATTACACCGTCAACTGTGTCGGTAATGAAACATGGAACAGTTTTTCTTCAGACAGCCGACAGTTGCTTAAGAAATGACTTACTTTTATAGCGCCCAAAGTTTCAATACGGTGTTCGAAAGAGGGACTCCCTGTCCTGAGCCAGTTTAAATCAGTTCGCATTTCATGTCCTTTTTAATATCATCCTCCATGTGCTCATTGGTCTCCTAACATTTTTGCAGACTATTTTACGTATCCTATCCAAATCACCCTCCTGTCACTTGGTTCGTCTGAGGCCCGACATTGTCCTTAGCGCCCTCAACCGATGTCCTTATCTTAGATTGGCAACGCGATCTTTACACACGTGTAAGAGACATTTTTACGCTTGATGTGAAGTCACGTGGACTGAAATGGGATCATGTGATGAAATGGTGGATGCTTAATGTAAATGGGGTTGTATTTTTCATAATTTTATTGGGATAAATTTTATGACTCAGGTAAGTCTTCTTTAAAACGCATCATTTTAGCTTATCAAAAAGACTTAGTAACTTAAAAAAGGGAATCCCATTTTACAAATATTGAAGTCAGAGTACAAATATAATCTGTGGAAATAGACCACTGGTCTAAAATGCAAAACACAGTATATGAAACAGTGTTAATAAAAAAAGAAAGCCCTCTGGCTTGTTCATAAGCAGATACATTCAAATGAATATCCGGCCTCAGACAAACAAGTCAGAAAAACGTATGCAGTAATATTCAGACGTTTAT